CAAAAGGAAGAACTAGGCCCAGCAAGCAATCAATATATATATATATATACATACATATATATATATACACATACATATATATATATATATACATATATATATATATATAAAGGTAACCGGGCACCAAGTGCGTCTTTTGAACCTTCGACCTTTCCAGGCTCAGGTGTCGGCTCCTGCACAAAAAAATCCCTGCCATTCTTCGACTCAGGGTTCTTTTTAGGGTCTCCCCAGCCTCTTCCAGAAGGCCCATGTCATGATCTCGTTGCAACACTCACTCTGTTACCATACTCCCTATACTCCTGAAGTCCGACCATGGAATAAGCTCTACAGTGGTGGTAAGATCCGGCAAACTGAACTGAATGCCATAGAAGCCCTGAGCCCTAAGCCTTGAGATGCTCTGGTGAGAAGCTCAAAGGCCATGTGCGACGAGCTTGGCCCGAAGGAGAACTACCTCCGAGTCTTGCCTGCGCGGACAGATCCCACTTTTTGTTCCACTTTTTTTCCCCTTGGGTTTAGGGGTTGAGGGGTTTAGGGGTTTAGGGTTTAGGGTTTAGGGTGAGGGGGGGAGGCCCCGTTGATTATTGCAGTTGCACGCTCAGTGGATGCAGGTGAATGGATCGAGGAGTTTGCGACGCTCTGCGATGCCAACGCGACCGACAAGAGTCTCGGTCAAATTTCGAAGATGCCGAGAGTGATGGTTTAGGGTTTGGGTTTAGGGATGGTATACGTAATGACCATGGCCATCATGATGACAGTGGTTGTGATGGTGATGCCTTGGGGGTCGTGTCTATGACTGTTGCCTGTTTTTCTCAACTTAGCTATGCATGGCACATTATCGACAAGCAGAAGATATATGATTATTGTAATTACAAGTCCGGCAGTGGCACTGAAAGATTGGTGCTGTGGTGGGGGGGGCGGGGGCGGGCCGTTTCCAGTTCAAGAAGTAGGGGTCTGGGGATCAAGGGTTTTCGGGCTGCATGTTCCGGTATTTGTGGACATTGGGCTTCGGGTGCAAAGGGAGTTGAGGGATGTGCCAGGAAGGGCTGCAGCGAGCAGCAGCTCAAGTTCATCGAGCCGCTTGGGCGGCAACTATGACGTAACAACGATGAGATGGCTTTGCGACTAGACGGTCAAGGTCCTCCAATTTGCTGCCGCACGGACTGCTTACAGTAGGATGTTGGGTATAGTGATTACGGGAACCCGGGACATGCAAGTGTTTGGCGGCGAGGTAGTCGGCTGCAGAACAATTTCAGTGCGCATTCAGGTAAATTTAAGATGATAAAACATAGTGTGAACATGATCGTACCTTCATCCTTGCCACCTTGTATTCGTGACCATACCGTTCGGATCTTGGTCACTAGTCTGTGTCTTACCGAGCTATAAACTGTATGCCGCAAAACTGATATCAGGTTTCAATCCTGACATTTCATGCCTTGTAGATATTCAAGTCTATGTACCTACATTTCTCTCTCTCTCTCTCTTAACAAAACCCGGCTTCATTTCAGCTCCTGCAGGAAATGGGCCGGGAAGTCCGCCACAGAGCTCAAGTCGCAGCTCACGCGTCTCAAGGGCATGCTCGAGAAGGAGTCGTCAGAATTCTTCATCGCCTAGCTAAAGGTAGAGAATGGATATACCCTTATACCTATTTGTAGAGGGAACCTCAGACATTCCTCGCCTGGCCGACACAGTCATCACTAACTGGCTCAGTAGTCACATTGTCTAGAAGATGTAAATGTATGTGTTGTTTTCGCCGTGCTCCTTGAATAAAACAAGACACCTCTTGCGGTGAATGCTGGAGCGTCAGGGAGGTTGTCTAGTGTGGCTGCCAAAGCGTCAGAGAGAAGAGGCACTGTGTCCAGGCGCTGCCAGATTCGGGGTGGGGACCGGCTGGGGAGTCCCCTGGAGCTGCAAAGAGAGAATGCATAAAAAAGAAAGAAAACACAAGCGCAATGAGAGCGTTGGCCCAAACGCCGGCAGTCTAGAAAGACGATTTCGGGTCGGTTTACACGTTCGCATGTACGATAAAGCCATGGAGCATGAAGATTGCACAGAGATGTGGAGGTGCCACGGCTTGGGGCTTTGGGCTCAGAGCCTCTCAGGCTTGGGAGTTGAGAGATCCTGGGGTTTCGGATGGTCGGGTTGCAGGGTTTCGCTTTGGGGGTGGTTGTTTACGAATTTATGGTTGGGGCGTAGGGCAACGCCCCCCCCAAAATTGCCCCTTGCGGCAGCCAGGACGGGGCTTCCATGAAACCCGATGCCCTCAAGTGGGTGAAAGCTCGGGCCAAGCTCATTGAGCAGATGTCGCAGAAGGCGGAGCTGTAGATTGAAGATAGGGCGTTCGGCGTTCGGCATGTGTATGGTTCAGGGAAAGCCAGTAATGACAGGATTACACTGGGAGATCTGATGTAGCTCAACTTTGTCTGAAACTTTGTCTCCACCTTTTGCGCCGAGTAGACTTAGGATCCAACCTTCGCAAACTTGGCTCAGGCAGTACTTTGGTGTACTTTATGAATATGACGGAGCGCTAAAGTACTAAGCCCTAACACTAAAATTCAGGGGCCACCTTGCCCAAACACTTAGGGTCTCCAGTGGATCACGTCGGCATTACAATTTCATGTCTCTCACCCGACCGAAGCAGAGCTTGAAATCGATCTGGATGTAGCGCTTGCTGACTGAATAGGCCCTGCTGTTCTGTGCTCCGGCAGTTCGAAGAGGTTTTATCTCGCTCTAAGATTCCAGGGTGCCGAACCAAGCTGCAACATGTTGTTTGTTCAGAATCTAAAGCCAGGAAGCATTGCTGTGGCTGTGACATGACCACGCATGCTGTATGTTGAGAAGCTGCCTTGAGCCCAACTTTGCATCATCGGCAAGTTTTGAGACCGACACCGCCTTGGATGCGCGCGTAGCGCATCAGCCACTCTTTTGTGCAGGCCATGGCTCGTGCTTCCACGATCTGCGGAAATCTCACTAAAACTTGAGGGTTGTTAAGTAACGGACAAAGGAGCGTGACCTCTGTTCCCGGATCTGAAGCCATCGTTTGCGGTACGAGTATGCATCATACTCGAGAGCCGACACCGAGCAATCACCGTGGATGTTGCCGGGCATAGTGACGAAACGGCGCCAGTTTCTGGCAGAGCTGTTTCCTGAGCCGCCCTGCAGCCCCCGCCTGATTTGCTCACATACCCTTGGGCTGCATGCAAAACATTTTAGCCTCACCTTGTTTTGCATTCACAGGCTGTGTGGTTTCTGAAACCTCAGAGGCCAAACAAGGGCTCACCCAGATGATCTCAATGCCTGAGACTGCTTTGAACAACTCCCAAAACTGCTGGGCAGTCCAAGGGTGGCTACTTAGGCGCCGCGCGTTGGCCACGGAGCACCGGGTGCAGGATCCACAAGGATGGAGACGGATATACTAATAGGGTGCATCCTAACAGATGCAGGGACCCGAGCATACATGTTGGAGGGTGCGATTTTGCATGGTATAGCGGCATGCAGTAAATTGCAGTTGACGATGGCAGAGGCACTGGTGGTTATCGCTTGTCTCGTCGTTATTTCACTATCTGTGTTTGCGGTAGCCGCAGCATTAGTGGTGGGGGTGCTGGTGGTGGTAACGCAGGAAGATGGCGAGGTATAGCAGAATGGTGGCTCGCATAAGCGAGAACGACGACGGCGACACAGCAACACCAGTACTTATATATACTAGACCAGAACAAGAGACATACGGTTTATAACGACAAGAAAAGAAAATAATAGTAATAAGTGCAACAGCAATAACAGCAACAACATGTGGAGCCAGCGAAGTTGCAGCAAGCCCAGCGAAGCAACATCAATAAAATCACCCCTGCCGGCACTACGAGTATCAATGCCAAAAAATCATCACCACTACATTCACTACTAACGTTGTCGCCATCGTCGTTGTCAACATCGCTGCATTGACGATCATTACCATCACCATCATCATCAGCAGCAGCAACGGCATCAACACCAACACTAGCAGCAACAACGTCAACAAGCGACAAAACTAGCACAACAGCGAAGACAAAGCAATCGAAGGTCGCCGCAGAAGTTCGCAGTTTAACTGTGTTGTATTTTAACGAACTTTAATGCATTATGTGATGTTTCCACAGTCTATCACATAAACCGTTTCATTCAATGTTGTACGGTCTAGTTTTGTATTTGTTTAGACCAGTGTTGGGTTTGACTCGAAGTGTTTCCTTGCGGGACGGTGGATGCTCCGAGCCACACAAAGATGAAGAAACCGCCAGCCAGAAGAGGCAAAAAGAGGCTAAGGTTTGGGGTTTAGGGTTTAGGGTTTAGGGCCCCGCGCGTCCATTGCATGTTCCGCTATCAATATTGCCCCGAACTTTGACTTCTGCAAATCCACTAAAATTGTCAAACCTTCATGAATATGGGCATCAACAGTTGCAGCCTTGGAGCAGTTTGTGGCATGTCGGGTTTGGGAAACTGCTCGGAAGGCTTCAGATTGAATTGGGAGAAGCATGTTGGTGCCATCTGGAATGTTTGGAAAGTAGAATTACAAAGGTGCTAAGCTAACGGCAAAGAGCGATCTCTTGACACATCGAGAGTGGGGGCCTTCCTGAAATCATGGAACTAATGTAGGAACCTGATTAAGAAACCCTGGGCCTTTATTAGGTTCTTCATATGAACCCTAATATATTGGGGTTATAGGGCCAGGGTTTCTTATTCAGGTTCCTACATTACCGGGTTAAATGCATTGCAAGTACCTCGCAGAGTGTTCCGAGCGGCGAACTCCATCTTCGCGTCCCTACGTCATTGTATGTACTTGATCCCGCCTTGCTCTGTCCCTACAGGTTTTTGTGTGGGACTTCAAGTTCAAACCGGTTCCAACTTCAAACCATCCAATTTGAAAGACTAGCGAGTATACGAACAACACTTGAACCGACTCGCACATTCTAACACACGAACCCTCAGAATTTTTACGTTCCAAACCCGAACCTCGAAGACGGGTTGAGTCTGAGGTCTGTCCCAGTGCCACTTCAGGGCGTCGTTGCTTCCGTGGCCTCTACCTCAGACGGCAGAGCTGGCCTTGAGATTTTCCCTAGGGCTCCAAGTATTCAAATAGTACCTACTTTGGGGTCTAAAGTCTGTAAATAGTACCTACTTTGGGCTATTTGGAGCTCCAGGGTTTGGCATTACATGCATCTGGGGTTTAGGTATGCGGGTTCACGCTTTATGCCGAGGATGCGTTGTGGGGCTTCATAGACATGAAGCCAGTGGACTGGGTTGGGGTACTGAAGTTTATGGGTTTCGACCTTCAGGAGGCTTCTAGTGGGTAGCTTCCATGCTTGAAGCTGGCTGAAGACTTAAAACGCTCTGCCCCATGTCCGTATGTGGACCTTCAGACACTTTCTATTCCTAGCCGATACCGGAGTTAGACTCGCCAGTGACTCGCCCTCCCTGCATTCCAAGATGTATACCTCCGCGACACTGCCTGTGGCGAACTACCGCTACATCAAGAGCCTTCAACTGAAGGCCTGCCTGATCGATTCCCTAAACCCTAAACCCTAAACCCTAAACCCTAAGCCGAACGATGTGTTGCGCGTTTGTACGGTTGGAAGGACTGTGTCTCAGGGCCTTGACCCCAAACCCACATCTATCCCTCGTTTCAAATGGATCAACCCTAATACCTACATCTGAACCATTACCCTAACCCTACTCCTAAAGTTTTAAGATTGAACCATTCCCCTGCTGCTGTCCATCTTTCGCCGCGCGCTTGACCATTTGAAAATTTGGATTCTGGAGACGCCAAACTGCCATGGCTTCGGTGGAGGGTTTTGGGGCACTGCTATTGTCAATGTGCTGTTTATATACTACTGTACGACTAGTCTTCAGCTACTATATAATATTGGATATAGAAATTAGTATCTGGACTGTTCGCCTTGCAATTATGTTCTGGAACGGTGCTGATTAATGAGATCTGGCTTCGGACAGGAAGCCACACCACGTAGTGTCACAGTGTCCCATTGCCGGATCTTCAGATGTGTAGTACTGCGTGCAGTCTATACATCTCGAGCTGATATTTGCTCTACACTTGGACTGTGGACAGTGGTCAGAGTAGAACTCAGCCTCACCCAAGCACAACACCGTGATTGGAATTGTCTGCACCAGGCTGCCTTGGACCTAAGTTCTTGCTAGATCTGGGGTTTATAGTGGTCGTAGAGATTCGAGATTTGTTTAAGGGTAGGGGCTGGAGGTTACACGCGCCTCAGGGATTGGATTCGCAGATTTTTACCAGTTTCCTGCGATCGTCAGGTCAAGTTCAAGAAGCTCTACCAGGCGTACTTCCCAACGCTGCTCAGAGATATCATTTACGGCCCCGCTGCTTAGATTCAGCTGTGCCTTGTCTTCTCTTTCTCGGTCTTGGCAGGAGGTTCGTGCCTCTGATCAGACCCTGCAGTGTACCATTGAAGAAACATTGAGGTCGGCAATTGGAGTTCCAAAGTCTGTCGAACGGTGCAGTGCCTCACATTGGCAAAGGTATCTAACTCTTTCTTATTCATACTCTAAGCTGCGAATGCTAAGCAGTCGCAGCCTGCTGTTTTCGGGAATTAGATCTGTCGCGGAGTTGTGTAAACACGAGGCCTCCAACACCTGTGCATACCGAACAGTCAGTGCCTCAAACAAACCCTCAGGCCCTGAACTCCTAAACCCTCCGCTCAAGCGTCTGTCCGGAACCCAGGACCTTCAGCTCAGATGTTACGCATTCATACAGACATACGATGCGCACACATAGATGGCATAGACGCAACGATGTGATAGTGCGTCTCCGCAGATTTAGGCTCTTTAGCTTTCCAATATCCATCCTCCTATGAAGACTCTTTAGTTCACAAGCCAGAACTAAAGCCCAAAACCCTAAACCCTAAACCCCTAAACCCCAAACCACCAAAAACCCTTAACAAAAAAAGCCTAACTCACGACAACCAGGAGACCTCTGAGACCCGAAGCTGCCCTGAGGTGTGACCCGCACAGCGTTGATACGAAAGTTCCACGCGCCCGCGGTTTCGAGTCCAGCAGGCCTTCCTTGCTTTGCCGACCTCATCCCCTCTTGTGTCTAGAGTCTTGTGGTTGTTTTTTAGGGTTTAGGGTTTAAGGTTTAGGGTTTAGGCTTTCAACACGTATTGCCTTGGCGATTTCTGCCTTGGCCTTTGGCTGTCGTCGTTGAGGTTCGAGCTCTGGTGCTGAGCACTTCGGGAGCCTTATAGTCGCATAAACACAGTCGGCCTTTCGTCTTGGGCCTTGATGGAGCACAGACGCACGCGCTCAACCCTGAACCCTAAACCCTTGCTCGGCTGATGAGGCCCCAGGGCCGAATCTTCCATCATGGCATCGGGTTACATATACATATATATTTATATATAATTTAATATATATTATAATATGAAATATATGATATAAAATATATAATATAATATAAAATAAAATAATATAATATAATATAATATAATATATTATAACATAATATAATATAATATAATATAATATAATATAATATAATATACTATAATATAATATGATATAATAAAGTGTAATATAATAAAGTATAATATAATAAAGTATAATATAATATAATATAATATAATATAATATAACATAATATAATATGATATAATATAATATGCTATAATATAATATAATATATTACAACGTAATATAATATAATATAATATAATATAATATAATA